ATTTGTAGCATACAGCAGGACGACTAGAGGAAGAGGAGCATACTACTAATGTCACAGTGAGAACCYAGATTCAGACAGAGGCCATGCAGTCTGGGATTGCAATGCAACATTTGGGCGCTCTTCTGCTAGAACTTGGTCATACAATGCTAACATTGCATATTGGACGGTCTCATGTATGTCATTTCGGTTTTTTCTCTTTGCACTAGTATTATCTTGTCAGAATCACCATTTACAATTGACTTGGGTGAACACTTCAGGCTGAATCTTTACTAAAATTGCGAACAAATTACTGATTTCGAAGAATATTGAATATTTACAGGTAACGGAGTTGAGAGATAAGTTGTCAAGGGTAGAAGAGGAACTCGAGACCGAACGGAAGAATAGGGCAGATTTGGAGGCCAGACAAGTTGCCTCAGCAGCTGAACAGGCCAGACAAGCTGCTGCATTAGCCCAACAGGCCGCATTATCGAAGCATTTTGCTGCGTTTATGCGGCAGTCAGAATACGTTTTCTCACCTCCCCCAGATCCTGATAGTTAGGTTGTATGTATTCGAAGATTAAATTGTATGAATTGAATTTAAAATTGTAAGAATCCATATTTTAAATCGTATGAAATGGTTAATTTTGTTCACAAATTTGGTTTGTTATATATTATTATTTTCAGGTTTTTTAAAAATAAATACAGGATTTATGTATTTTTAAAAAATTTATTTTTTATTTTTTTTACAAATTAGCGACGGATTAGCGAGGGAAAATCCGTCGCTGAAAGTGTTTGAATTTCCCTCGCAAATCCGTCGCTGAAAGTTCCCTCACAAATCCGTCGCTGAAAGTTCCCTCGCAAATCCGTCGCTGAAAGTTCCCTCGCAAATCCGTCGCTGATCCGTCGCTAAATACATCCCTCGCTGATCCGTCGCTGATTTCCGTCGCTGATCCGTCGCTGATAGCATTACCTACGACTGTTTGACCGACGGAGTATCAGCGACGGATCAGCGACGGAAACCCCTTTCAGCGACGGATCAGCGAGGGAATTTTCCCTCACTGATACCCAGCATTTTTGTAGTGTTTGTCATCGAAATGTATGTATGTATATATATACATATATAAATACATATAAAAATACGTACATAAATACGTAAATATACGTAAATAGGCGTACGTATGTAAATACGTACATATATATATATATACGTATATATGTAAAGTTTCAATTTTTGTATGTATATATGTATAGATGTTGATTGAAAATACATGTATATAAATACGTACATACTTACGTAAATATACGTAAATATGCGTACGTATATAAATACGTCCACCGTTTCCTTTTGTCTTTACTGGAGGTTAGACGCAGGTTCTGGCTTAGATGCCGACAACAAAGTTTGTGGGGCGCGTTAGAAAATACAGTTCGTATGGCCAGATCGATAGAGGCAGCCCTATCGGTTACAAAGATTAAATTGGGCACATTATCGATACAGTGCCTCGGCTTACGTAAAAACCATGTCCATGATGAACCACTTTTTGTCTTCTCCACTCCCACTGAAATGAGTACGATCACATTGTTTCCATCCATGCCAACCGCTAAGGACATGATGTCAACGTATGGCCCCTTCAGATGAGCATCGTCCATAATAAAAAGCGGTCTCATGTGTCTTAGAAACGATCGAATCTGCAGATGAACGAGATTAAAAATCTAAACTTCAGAACATAAAATTATGAATTGCCAAAAACTCATTCCCTCCCTGATCCCTTGCTGATCAACTAGGGATAAACAAGAGAAATGCCAAAAACTTATTCCCTCGCTGATCTCTTGTAGATCAGCGAGAGAATTGCCAAAAACTCATTCCCTCGCTGATCTGCAAGGAATAGGAATGGCAACGGGCCGGGTATTGGTATCCCCGTCCCCGAAACCGATAGCTAAAACCGTCCCCGTAACCGTCCCGATCCCTGTCGGGGATCTTATCGGGGATCCCCATCGGGTCCCCACGGTTTCCCCGATCCCCGTTGGGGAACCCGTTAAGGGTAAAAATTTTCTTTTTCATTGTTGGTTATAATCGAACCCGAACCCGAAACCGATATGAAAAAAATTACAATATGTTAATTTTCACAATTAAAAGTAAATTACAATTTTTTTTAAGATCTAAGTTTAAATGTCTCAAGCATAATTGAACCAATTACAAATAATGTATTAGATTACAATATAAAAATAAATAAAAAATTCGAACATCATACAACTAAAATCATGGTTTTTGACAAATAATCTAGATTTTTCGTGAGTTTTATTTGGGTTGTTGAGGTAAAGTGGATAATTTTTTTAAAAATTTTAATGTTACTTTTTTTAAAGATATCATAATATATATATATATATATATATATATATATATATATATATATATATATATATATATATACACTTGAGATCATGTGAGACTAATGGTTTTTCGTGAGACCCGTAAGACCAATTCTCAACCCTTAGATTAGATGTACATTCTAACAATATAAACATTCATAAATGCCACAAGACTTCTCAGTAATCACAAAATTGTCACCGTGCAATTTAGATCATTAGATCATTAACTTATAAAGTTGATCAATGAACATAAATTGGTCTTACGGGTCTCACGAGAAACTCTTGGTCTCACGCAGGGGCGGACCTAGTATGGTGGCATGGGTGGCACGTGCCACCGTATTATTTCGCCACCGAAGGGTAAAATTTTTAGGTTTGTTAACGGTGCTACCGTATCGTTTTGGAAGGTGCTACCGTATTTTCCTGAAATTCAAACAGTGCCACCGTATGAAAAATTTTCTGGGTCCGTCCCTGGTCTCACGTGAACTCAACCCTATATATATATATATATATATATATATATATATCGGGCCGGGCCGGGCCGGTGATCACCGTCCCCTCCCCCGTCCCCGTTAAAATCCCCGAATTCGTCCCCGATCCCCGTCCCGTCCCCGATAAAATGTCCCCGAACCCGGCCCGAAAGTTTTGGTTTTCGGTTTTCACCGTCGGTTTCGGTTTTTTTTTGCCATCCCTAGCGAGGAATTAGCGAGGGATTGTGCAGAAACTCATTTCCTCGCTGATCCCCCTCCCTCACTGATCTGCGGGAAATTTTTTCTTTTGCTGATACCTGGTTTTATAGTAGTGTTAATCAGTATGGGACGGACTTCTCATTTAAGACATCGTAGATTTTTTATTTATCTAAGACTTGGGCTGTAAGAATTTTTGGTTAAGGAGTTTGGAATCTCATTTAATAAATGATCTTTATTATTTATTTGTGGTTTATGACGTAGCGAAAATTTGGGGTATCACAAAACCTCAACATAAAAATCAAACTTAACCCAAATCGAAACTGAAACCCAAATCAAAATAAAACCTGAATTCTTGACTTTTAGGAGCAAGTCCAGGTGCTAGGGAGAGGATGAAGATCGATAAGATTCAAAAACAGAAGATGATGTGGTGGTTATGGATTTAGCAGTCCCTATATAGGTAGCGAGTCTTGGTGACCCATAAACCATGAAGATCGAGAATAAGGAGGGATAAGAAAGCCTGGAGTCTGACTTCATTGAAGGATAAATTCGAAAACATGGGAAAGCTTTAGATCTGGTGGTCATCAGAGTAATAAGGTGCATCAGATTAGGAGGCATGAGTAGCCGGAGATTTCATCGGAGATGGTGCAGGATTCGTAGGAGAATTCATGGAAAACTTCGTTCATGATGCCATCCATTGGAGGATGAATTAAAGAAATCTTCGTGCTACGTACGCATACGATATACCCTTGTTGTATCAGCCAAAAATAGGTGTAGCGCTTAAACGTGCATCACTTTTGCAATAGGACTTCGTTTTAGGCTCATAACCAGTCAAATAGAAGCTTGGAACGATGATTTGAGTGGGTTTCAACGAATTGTACGAAGCACCTTCGCTTGATTTGGCCAATACGTGGATTCGAAAATTTGGCATGGGAACAATTTTTTTCAAGTTCTTTCTGGTAGAAAATATCTCATTAATTAATATGGTAGATAAACCCACGGAAATGTTCATCGCAATCCGACACGGTCGGTCTAAGAGAGAAAACCCCAAGGGTACCAGAAAAGAACTTGAAAAAAAAACTGTTCTCGTGCCAAAAATTGCCGGAGTCACGCATTGGCTAAATCGAACGAACATGCATCGTGCAGTTCGTCGAAACTCATTCAAATCATGTTGTATTACCACAAACTTCCACTCATGGCGTGATACTCGTTCCAAGCTTTGATTTAACTGGTCATGGGCCTAAACGGAGTCCCATAACAAAAGTAATGCACGTTTAAGCATTAACACCCAGTTTTGGTCGATAAACCAAGGGGACACCCTTGCGTTCTTTCAATTTTTGATAAATCGAAGTTCGAAATGATGAGCACGTCATGAGTAGGAATTTTTGTGGTAATTCAACATGATTTGAGTGAGTTTTAACGAATTTCACGACGTATGTTCTTTCGATTTGACCAATGCATGACTTCGACAATTTAGCACGAGAGCTAGGTGTTTTCAATTTTTCTAGCCTAAAACTTCTTATTAACATTGTAGATGTATCACCGAAATTTACATGACAATTATGCATGGTTGGTTCAGGACGAGAAAAACCCAAGGGTATACCCTTGGTGTATCGGCTAAAAATGGGTCTTGTGCTAAAACGTGCATAAAGGCTCCGTTTTAGGCTCGTAACTAATCAAATCAAAGCTTGGTATGAGGAGGACGCCACGGGTATAAAGTTTCGTGTTAATACAACATGATTTGAATGAGTTTCAACAAATTACACCTCTCCATATATCATCAATTTGAGTCCCTCGAAGACAACTTTGGATTTTCTTGATTATTCTACAAGATCTTATATATATGATTAGTCGAGGAAAGATGTTAAACACCATGATTAAAAAGAAGTGATAAGATATGGCGGTAATGAAATGGCAATCCATCATGCAATGTAAGTTCAAGCAATTAATGCAATGTATTAAAATATCTTGTAATTTAAGTCACAAGTCGAGTATTTATTTGTGAAAGAAACCAAAAAAATGATGGAGAGTTGGTCCCATGTATAAAAAGTGGTCCATCTCCGACTCCGCATGATTAATGAGCTACCTAGTTATACGTAACTATATGTATGTATTACATCAGCAACTCCGGCAACTAAAACTTTTCCAGAATCTCCGATCATATATATATATATATATATATATAGGTGCAGGTATACGTATATGCTTCTGTGTTGTAGCTAGATTTTAAAAGTTCCAGAGGAACGATGGGCCTTGCAAAATGATCCCATCATAGTTCTCAGCTTGCTCATGGCCGTAATCATCAGTAGTCGCAGGTGGCGATGGCATGAAATAATCATCAAATCCCGGATATATACCAAAATCCGGCACACCTCCTGTATTATTACTCGTGTTATTATTAAGATTCAAATAGTCGGTGAAGTCATGAAGAAAGGGCGATGTTAGATCCAGCTGGGACGTCCAACTCTCACCCTGATCCGTCTGGTTGAGCTGATCAGAGTGGGTATTGCAGGAGGAGGAGGAGGGGGAGGGGGAGGGGGAGGAGGAATGATCGTGTGTTGTAGGAGTATTTGTGCAGTTAGCATTTGCAAAGCGAGCAGCGGCAGCTTGTATCTGTGAAGGAGGCAAGGACCTCCCTCCGGGAATGTCAGGAGGTTGGTGTGGAAAGTTGAATCTGGCTGTGGAACCACGAAGACAGAAAAGGGCGGCGTCGAAGGCTCTAGCGGCCTTTTGAGGGGTGTCGTAAGAGCCTAACCAGATCCTTTGCCGGCTGTTGGGTAGTCTGATTTCCGACACCCATTTTCCCCATTTCCTTTTTCGAACACCCGTGAATTTGGCGTCACTGTTTGTGTCAGGAGCGGAGGAGGTGGTAGGTTTAACCATGCTGAAACTGGAGCTGGAGCTGGATTGATGGTGGAATGGAATTGGCGGCTACGTATATATTGGTGAGGGAGGGGAGGTGACTTAGGGAGTGAGAGCGCGTTGACTGAATTGACGAGGGGGCACACACACATACACAGTGAGACGTTGCCCTTTCATCTCGAAAAGGGTGCTAAATTACGCGGTGCCGATTTGTTCACATGTGTTTTTTTCTTTTTCTTTTTCTTTTTCTTTTCCCTTTTTCTTTTGTTTTTGAGGTAGAGTTGTTCACGTGTGTTATTTCACGAGTTCCATGTGCTCCTTTGTTTTTGTCTTCTTCCTAATTTACATATTTAGTCCCTCTATGTTTTAGTAGAAATTATTCATATACTTCATTTTCTTTTCTATCAAATATATATATATCTATATTATATTATAAAATATTTTATAAAAATTCTTAAAAATCATTTTGTATTCATATTACTTAAAATTCATGATTATAAATAATTGTACGTAAATACACTTCATATTTGAATTCATGTAACTATCTGCAGATAAATATAATTAAATATAAGATAACCATCTCATTTTAAATATAAAAAATCTAAAATATAATTAAGATATTATTGAGTTCTAACAAAATACTTAATTATTATCATTATAAAAATTACATTATTAAACAAAAAATAAAAAAAAATGAATTAGAGAAATACACAAAAAAAAAATGATAAATTTTAAATAGTTTGTTTGTTTCTATTATCAATATTTTCTTTCAATTTTTTATAATATGTCTTCATATTTAGATTTTATTTAAAAGTATTAATTTTCTAAAAACCACATAAAACTGTATTATAACATCAATTAAGACAAAAAAAAATCGAAATATTAAAACCAAGATGTATGTCGTTGCCTTCTAGTATATATATATATATATATATATATATATATATAATGTAATATATTTTGCTTTATCAAAGTTGGGCATGGAAAACATAGAAATTGGTTTAACAAAAATGTCAAAATTGAAGGACGCTTTTTGCATTATCATGACTTTTTAGGTTGCGTGTGGAATGACGTAATCTAAGAAATCCATTTTCATTGGATTTTGTACATGTTAACATATTTATGATCATCAATAATCCCTTCTTATTTTACGAAAAATATTCATCCCAAAAAACAACATCTAACATGCTTTTAGTAGTTCTCAATGAATAACACTTCTTAACCAAACTTTCATCACTCTCTCTCTCTTTCTCTCTCTTTTTTATATATATATATATATATATATATATATATATATATATGTTGGTTCAAATACTAACCAAAAAATTTGTGTTAACTATACTAACCAATTATATTATTTCTTTATTTTATGTTCAAATATAACTTATAAATTAAATATAAAAGTGATTATGTAATTTGATCTTTATGTAACTTCCTAGTAATTAATTGGGAGTTACAAATCTTAAAGATCCCTCTAATTGATCATTAGGTAATTCTGATTTTTATCTTCATTTGTGTTCATGATCGTGATTTCAAGTGATGCTCTACATATAATGATATTCGTTTTGTAAGTGTAAAAGATTTCCGTATCGTCCAAGTAATATGGATAATATTATTGTAAATCATATTGATAACAATGGAAATGACAAAGTTAAAATCGAATACGACTACAGTCGGAATTCAAATTCCGATGATGAAGAAGATGATCAAAGCGTTCCGATTGGTAAGTGATTAGTATGACATTTATTTTGTTTAAATGAACAACTATTACCGTTGTGAACCATTAAATATTCTTGCAAATATAGTTGAATTCGTTGAAAAATCTDATGCACATTCTGGTACTGCATATGTTTAGGGATTAATTTAGTTGATAGAGAACAGATTATAAGAGATATGGACACACATTAACACATATGAAACTGCACAAATCAAATAGATATAGATGTTATGATTCATTAGTGTTCAGTTGTATGAAATGCATTAGATTTTCATATTGAAACACATGAACAATTACATCACATATCAAGAGATACTAAGACATAAGGACACACAAAACATATGAACACATAGCAAATGCAGAATATGTGGATATCGATACATATGCACAACTACATCACATGAATATGAATAGGATTTTTGAGTAGTATGTCATGTCGTTGTTCCTATCAATACATATGCACAACGCGTTCACATGAACATGTGATCAGACTCTATGATTCATGTGAACAACGCCTTTTTACATTTTTACCCTGTGAATCCATTGTTCACATATTATTAATTAATATATTAATTAAATAATTAAATTCTTATTCTCATTAAACTACAACCGTTAGATGTTCAAATCAACGACCAAGATCGGTTAACAAAGTTAACACGATAATCTTGGTTAGTATTTGAACCATATATATAAATATAAATATACATATAAATAAATATATATATATATAGGGTTGGGTTCACGTGAGACCAGTCTGTTTTCATTGGACTCCTGAGACCACATTTTTACACTTAAAACTTCCCA